CTGCCGAAAAGAAACAAACAAGGTGAAAATATACAATAACTTTATGACTGTATGAAACGAACGTCTGGAGAAAGTTTTCACAAATGAAATGCATCTACTTACGTTTCCGGGTCAAACCAGCTTGTGTCGTCCTCAGTGAGTACTAAGGTCAATGACAACTGCGTGAGGACTATTGTACCATATGAAGACGACCTCAGGACATCGAGTGTTGTCTGGGCTTATTTGTATATTTGTTATTATAGTATTATTAGGCAAATTCTAAACATATATTTTAAACGTGTTCAAAATTACTGCAATTCCAATCCAAAAGATATATTATTCTGTTTGGTCTAAATGGGAAAAAAATTATTGCATTCTTTCTGTATTTACGTGTGCTTTATCCTCCTGTTAGGATTACGTATCATTTGAAAGGCCTTAAATTTCATATCTGCAATTCTCGACCAATCCCCCTGAGTGGGCAAGAGCCATAGTGGAGGCACCACCATCATCATCATGAAGGAGCGGCACACAAGAAGAAGACGTTGACGAAGTTTTCACTAACAAGCTCAGGACAACCTCTGTGTATTTTGTTGACGGGCACAAGTTCGCCCAAAAGAAATAGCTGTTTTAGTTGCCGGCGTTGTACTTGTCCGTTACAATATGGATCGGTCAGACTGGTTGGTGCATCAACCCGCGCACAGAGCATCAAAATTCATTTAAATGAAGCCATCTCATCTAACCTTGAATTTTCATCAATTCACATGCCATTTCAATTTTGAAGGCCTGGTAATCTTTCACAGTCACCCTAACCAGACAACGCGAGAAATCACGGAGATACATCATGAAAAACATGCACCGCACCTTGTTTAAGTCTACTAACCCTCGCTTTCGTTACAACACAAGAAACTTAACTTCATTAATGAACTCTCAACACGCACCTCGGCTGTTAGTCTTTTTGTACCTCTTTGTGACATGTGCGACGCACCCCAATTTTCTTACATATTTGTTAACACGTGCGATAACCTTTTTTTGTCTTAAGTGAATGTTCCCTGTGTATTTCTTCCTTGATTGCGTTTTTTTTTTTTTTTTTTTTTGCCCTGTAGGCTTATTTCCAACCTGCAGTTTCAGTGTCTAGGGAAGTTGGTAGATTTATATTCTGTGAACAGCGAGCAGTGGTCTAGTCAATGTATTTCATATTAAGAAGTTCCACTTAGTTCTAAAGCACTCTTTAAATATACCAGACTCATACATTCTAAGAGAACTTGTTGTTGGGCTAGTTGGTGGAGCATTTCGAAAAGTTAATTAGAGCGCGAAAACTTGACACGATCACTCACACCCTAACCAGACAGCGCTGTGTGTTTGATGCATGGGTGTGTGCGTGTGTGAGTGATCGTGTCAAGTTTTCGCGCTCGAATTAACTTTTCCAGAATCATACAATTTCCTCGTGAACAGCATCAAAGGACCTTAATTGATTCCTAATGCATCCATGAATTTATGGAAAGTGCTTGCACGTTTTGGAAATGAAGTTTTGCTGTTTTTATTCATGTCAAAGCCGGAAGGATAATAATAATTAACTGATGGGCTAATTGAAGATTCTCAGCTGCTCAGCTGATTGGACATGGGGACAGGTACAAATCGTTGACATGCCATCGCACCCAAACACTGCAGTTTGTGAGTAAATCACCCAGTAATATAACACATTGTTGAGTTTACTTGATTTGAGAAGAGCTGGCACGGTGCAAACGGAAAGTTGAAACTTGAGGCCCGCGATCTCGTCACGGCGGCTACTATGGCGTACCAACTTTTACCATAAGCACTTGTGCGCCCGTTGGTGGCACTAGTGGGCTTGAAAAAGGTCTATTGATGCTGCGGCCAGCGAACAATCATAAAACCTTACACCGTACGGCGTTTCGGCGTGACCATCAAACTCAATATAGAAGGGCGCTGATGAACCCAGGACACGAACTACCCAGTAATACGTGTAGGCAGCGTATTTCAAGGGGTTGACTTCGCATTACTAGGAAGCAATCCGCACAGCAAAGTTTGGGCAGCGACCCTGAATGCAAGAAATGCAAACTTTAGCGACGATACATGTCGGCTGGTTAAAATTCGCTTTACACACTAGCGCTCGTGTCTCACCTGGCGGAAAGATTCGCTGGTATACATTTTCTCCGCTACCCTTCAGGTGCCGGTATAAGGTCGCACTCACCCAGAATCTTACTCTGAGCGCGAGACGCCTCGCATTTGTGATTTCACCTATACGGAAGGATGGTAGTTTCTGTTGCTTTGTAACCCTATACCGAAAACGTGAATGAAGGCAAAATAGTTTATGGCAGCAGTGAAGTTCCAGTCAAAGCTTGCATCAAAATGCCCGAAATAGAGAATGGGGATTAGAGAATGGGGATCAAAATGCCCGAAATAGAGATTTTTTAGCAGTTATACACAGCGAACAAGCTATTTATATGTGAGTAGGCATAGTACGGTCCCAGGTGCACTTTCCATTGAGGCTAAGTGAATATTTTGCATCAATGATTACCTTGCCCTCCCAATTCGCACAATAAAACATACGTGATTGGAGTACTTCATTGTTATCAAATGTCAAAGTGCCTTTGAAAGTCTGCCCGAAAAATAATGCGTGTTGCTAACGTACAGCATAAATTTTAAAAAAATTACTGCGTATCGCAAGCTTGCTTGGATGCGCAAAGTGAAAAATGTCTACGAAAAGCTACCACTGCGTCAGGGCTGCTTCACATATAGAGCTTAACATAAAAATCATTCCCATAGGCATGAAGTCACAAACACCGACAGAAAGAAATTCACTCAGCAAAGTAAGCAAGACCAAAACGTAATAATGAATGTACAAAAACATGCTACGTATAACACTCATTCCTCCTTGTTAGCAGAACCATCCTTGACTTGTGAAACGCACTTTGCCCCAATGAGGACTACACCATCTACGCATAACAGGGATTAACGATTAACGATGTCTTCTCCCAACGGGTGGGTCATCGCATGCAATAATGCGTTTTCGAAGACTTCTCTATTCAATGATGCGATGAGAGGCAGTTGCTCCAAACGGCCGCTGTACCTGCCGTTTACTGTAGCCCCCGCAATACTTCTACTTACTCTCTTCACAACCACACGCATAAGGGGGGATCTCATGACTTGACATACATGTACACCATTTGTTCAAACTACTGCTCATAGTGACGTCACAGAGAAAAGCTGATGCCTGTGCCTTCCACCCCCCCCCCCCCCCCCCCCGTCGGCTCAGTGTGACCTCCCTAAAAAAAAACTTTCTGGCCCCTGCTCAAAGAGTAAGAATGTAAATGATCCAGCAACGATAGAGAGGCTGTTGCTCAATCCGTGGACCCCTCCTGCTAACTATAACTATCCAGCCACAGGGAAAAGAAATCTGAAATTCCGTAGATCGTTACCCATGGCTCGTTTATTCAGAAAAGCTTCAGGGAGCCCTATGCAAATACTGCATAGTCTTCGCAGGCGAGTGTGCGGGAAAGGGAGATCACCAGCGCTTGGGCTCTTTTGTGACTAAGGAGTTCACCAATTACAAGAAAGCCATAGATGCCTTTACGAGCTTTGCATCCAGCAGTTACGACGCCATGTCAACGACGTTGTCGGAAAACTTTTTAGCAGTCCGGTCTCGCTCACAGCATGACATCTTGACAAACCTTCACCACGACCTTACAAACCAAGCAGAAGAAAACCGCAAGAACTTGCTACTAATAATCGAAACACTACTTTTCTGTGGCAGGCAAGAAGTGCCACTTCGCGGCACAAACAACTCTGGTCCTATAAATATTTCTGAAGTGCTACCATTAAAAAACAACAAAAATTTTCGGGCACTGCTTAGGATGCGGGCAGATGTGAAGATACCGCCTTGAGAGCTCACATGGTAACATCTCCAGCGAATGCACTCTACATGATCCCAAAAATTTAATATGAATTGATCACCCTCTGTGGTGAAATTATGCAAAAAAAAATACCTGAAAATGTCAACTCAAGTTCGTGTTTTTCAGTCCTGGCTGACGAGGCGACTGATATATCTTGCGCTGCTAACATTTCCCTATGTGTAAGTTACGTCCAACACGACACGTTGGGAGTACCCGTACTGAGAGAAGATTTTGTGGACTTTGTTCCCGTGTACGACCTCACTAGCAAGGCACTGCAAGCACAATCCGAAACAGCCTCAGCAGTGATGGCTTTGACCTGAATCTACTTTGCGGACAAGGGTATGACGGCGCGGCATCAGTGAGCGGCCACCCAAACGGTGTCCAGGCCTTCATTCACCAAACCGTGCATTCTGCATTCTGCGTGGCAATCAAGCATTCTAACACAAAGCTATGCCACATCTCACTACTGCTTTGAAAATATACACTATATACCTAGGTAAATGGAATGAAATGTCGATTTTAGTTGCAATGTTCGCTATCCAATTTCATAAACGTTACATATGCACTTCTGTGATGCAGCCGACTTGTCGGGTTAACGTCAGTTGTAGTTGCCATTCACTGAAGCTAATTTATGTAGGAATGTCCAGAGCTACCATTCTCGCAAGCACAAGCGTTATATATCAGCTTACTGCTTCTCGTCTTGCTAATACTAATATTGTAGTTTGCATCATTGCACAAGTGTAAACAACTGGTTACATAAAACATGCGCTACTGTTCAACATACGTCTCTGCGTACAACCTTTCCACATATATTTAGCGTCATCTCGTAGTACGTCGAAAAGAACAACATGGTCAGCTTCCCTCTGCATGCTTCGCATAAGGTCAATTCCCACTGTAAGTGGGATCTGCCAATCTTTTTTCCGTAGTACTCATTTGGTTAAGCTAAACATTAATCTCCATTTTCATAAACATTTCTTCATATTACAGGCTGGCATAAAACAGATGTGTTGTATTCAGCAACAAGCATAACTAATTTATCATATTCGGCATGCAATGCCACCTTAACGATCCCACTTTCTAGCCACAATCAAACCAGCACACTCGACATTCTTGAATGGCAGCCAAGCATATGCAAGAATACTGGCTTTATTCTTGTAGAACACAAAACAAAAGAAAGGCAGTGAGTGAGAACACAAGAGTGCAAAAATATTTTCTTGAGCATCCACACGAACCAACGGTGACCATCTTCGTTCCCGTTGGCAAAAACGTTGGCCCCATAGCAGCTCTTACCTGCAAGGCAAGGAAAAGTGCTTCGTGCACTACACCGCAAATTTTTAAGCCATACAATACAGAGAGTTTTTATTTGACGATACCGATTCTTTAATGAAAATCTCAAAACAGTACGGCTCTTGTCACTTTTACACACCACAAGCTCTAAGTTGAGGCACAAATATGTTATAAATAAAATGAAAGTGATGTGACTAGTTAATGATAAAAAGTTAATTAGTATTATTAACTTCACTGTAGTTGACCCACAAAGCGTAGGTCAACTAGGTCACAGTTAACACAGTCCAATGTAATGAAAGTGACAAAACTCTAATAAATTAGGGATCAAGACCTAGAGACATGATCTACTCAACGCTACTGTACTCACTCCCATAATAGGGACAATTTTCCAGCAAATTCAGCTCCTAGTTCAGGGTGCGCCTATCACGTGGCATGAAACTTGAGCGGAAATTTTATTCCTAACTACAGCATAAACCCCTGATAACGTATATGTCGCCAAAGTGACGGACATTTGCGCTGCAGCTGAAACAACCTTCTTCATACACTACACTGGCACAAAACGTGTTGAGCATGCATTCTCGCCTGCCTGAGAATAAAGGCGGGCGATGCAGTCAAATTCCCAAAATATTGTAATCGGTGGCGACAATGGCAACGATCCATCTGTTTCTGTGGTAGAAGTTGGGAATAGGCCCAGGAAACCCATTATGATTTGGGCGAATGGCTTTGGTGGTACTTGGACAGAATGTAATAAGCCTGCCGGCTTGCCGGGCGGCGCTTTGAGTCTTTGGCAGTCGGCACAGGTTTGGATGTGACGTTTTACAGCAACAGGTAGCTTCAGACAGTAGTAATTGTTTTGCAGTCGGGATAATGTTCGAGTGAAGCCGAGATGACTAGAGGTGACTTCATCCCCCCCCCCCCCATGAGAATTTTCATTCATTACATTTCATTTTCATTTTATTATACTGTCAGCCCCATTTGGGCTATAACAGGGGATGCAGGGACGATGAGCAAGTATGGGCTGCTGGTGGGACAAAAGTTTTTCTTGTATAGAATGTCGTTCCTGAAACAAAAAGACGGCAGTCCTATGGCGAAAACTTGTGGCACATCTTCACATTGTCCTTCTAAGATGTCGATAAGCGGAAGGAGGTCGGGGTTACTGCGCTGCTCTTGTGAAATAGTGGCCCCGTTAATGACTCCCAAGAATGCAGCATCCATGAACTCGTCATCAATAGTGGCAGGCTCGATGGGTGACGGTGCTAAAAAGTCTGCGTCAGTATGCTTCTTTCCTGATTTATAAATTATGGTCATATCAAACTCTTGAAGCCGAAGGCTCCAGCGTTCCAAACGGCCAAATGGTTCTTTCAAGTTAGTGAGCCAGTGAAGTGAGTGGTGATCGCTGATGACCTTGAATGAGTGGCCGTACAGATACGATCGAAATTTGAGAACCACCCAGACCACAACGAGGCATTCTTTCTCGGTAGTCGAGTAGTTCTCCTCCCTGTGAGAGAGAGAGCTCTGCTGGCATAAGCTATCACTTTTTCGGGGTTATCTTGCCATTGTATCAGTATGGTGCCCAGGCCTACATTGCTGGCGTGGGTGTGAAGTGCTGTTGGCATTTCATTTTGAGCAAGAACCGGAGCTGTTTGGAGGCATTGGCGTAATTCATTGAATGCAGTTTCTTCCTTTTCGCCCCAAAGAAAAGAGACATCCTCTCGTGTGAATCGTGTCAAAGGTGCCGCCATAGACGACAATTTGGCGCTGAATTGTCAGTAATAGGCACAGAGGCCTAAGAAGCGCCTCACTGCTCTTTTGTCATGCGGTGCAGGAAACTTTGCAACAGTGTCAATTTTCTCTGGTTTTAAAGTCAAACCAGCCAAACATATAGCTTGTAGAACTGCGAATAAGCGACTTAGGTGCTCCTTGAATGTAGCTGAGAAGACAATAATGCCGTCTGATAGACCAAGCATGTCTACGACTTCAGTCCTGATAGCACAGTGTCCATTAAACGTTGGAAAGTGGCTGGCACTGAGCATAACTTAAATGGCAGCACTTTAAATTCATAAAGACCGTAGGGTGCCACGAAGGCAGTTTGCTCACGGTCTTTCTCGTCAACCTGTATTTGCCAATAGCCACTTCCATTGATGAGAAATAGCATGCATGCCCCAGCCGATCAAGAGAGTCATCTATGCGTGGCAGTGGGTAGACGTCTTTCTTTGTGACTTGGTTTAACTTGCGGTAATCTATACAGAAACGCAAGGTGCCGTTTTTGTTTTTAACCAATACCACGCGGGATGCCCAGGGCTTTTTGAAGGCTGTATTACGTCATCTTGGAGCACATTTTGAACTTGCTTTTGGATCTCCTCGCATTTTTTCGGAGCCACGCGGTATGAACTTTGTCGAATCGGTTTCGTAATTTCTTTAACAATGATTCGGTGCTGGGTCAGTGGCATTCGCTAGACTTTCGACATGCACGAAAAACAATTTTTAAACTGGTGTATCAGCTCTAGTAGGCGGTCTTTATTTGAGGGTGACAGGGTAGAGCAAATGTCGACAGACAAAGGTGTTGAGACTGGGACTGTCACATCATCCGTTTGCAAAGTGAATCAATTTTTGGCTTGGTCCACATCGTCGTAGTAGGCAATTAAGGTGCCCTTCTGGATGTGACGGTGCTCGTTGCTAAAGTTGGTGAGGAGCACTTCTGTCCGCCCATCAGTTAGTACCAGAACGCCTCTCGCTATGGAAACACCTTGCGTAAGCAATAGCGTGACTATTCGCTCCGCTATCACCTCGTTGTGGCCCGGCCATTCACATAACACTGACACAAGGCAAGCAAGATCTCAACGGGAACATCTCATTATCGGCTATACGTAAACACTGCAGTTGTTTTTCAGTGACGGCAGCAATGTAAGGATGGGCAGAAAAGGTGACAATACATTCTGGAATGTTGATTACAGCACCGTACTATTGCAGAAAATCCATACCCAAAATCACCTCTTTACAACAGTCTGGTAAAATCACAAAAGTGTGTTTCTATGTGTGCTGGCGGTTCACTAGATTCAAATGTAAATATAATGTGTTTTGTTGACTTTTCTGTGTTGTCTTGTCTGATTTTTATTCTTTGAACGTTTACAACATTTTGCTTTTTTGACCCATCAAGGAGCTCAGCTTCAGTTAGGTTCAAGTGGTCATCATCAGAGACAACACCTCGAATGATATTCATAGACCTATGTGGACTAACTGTGATAGGGATGTCTCCAATGGATGGCAGACTCTGTGCAGCGTCATACTGCTTCCTGTCTCGCAGTTTAAGCAGCAGATTGCCGTTAGCCATCTTAGGGGCCTTATAGCTAGGTCCTAGTTTCTCTGTTAGGTTTTTTGCTACTAAGAATGGAGAGATAACTCTGGCTTTTCCACCAGACTGTTCACTATGTATTACATGGCACTTTGAAAAGTGTTCCTTGGACCTTGAAGAGAATGTGGTTACTGCTTTGGTGCTCAACCTTTTCAGGTTACAATCAGCTTTGAAAGAGAATGATCTTAACATAACAGGCCATTTAAGTTCGGCAACAGTGCCAGCTGCCAATCACCAAGCCCAACCAGCGGACGTGGCAAGATGCTGGGCAAGTCCTGTCGACGCCAGCTGTACAGCGCTGCTATAACCCAATATGAAATAGCCAAGACTGGGCATCCACACAAGGTTAACCCTTGCCACCAATAAATTTGGAAATAAACAGAAAAGAGAAGTGACAGGACAGATAAAAAGTGCGGGAGAATGACTAAGATCTAAGGAGGGTGAGACAGGAAAAGGCGACTGCTAATTTCCCCTGGTTGGGTCAGGCCAGGGGTGCCGTCTACGAGAAGCCGGGGCCAAAGGGTGCGTTGCCTTTGCCGGGGGGCCTTAAAGGTCTAATCATCCAACATCCGCTCAACCACCTTTTCCCCAGTCACGGCAAGGCCACGCACGGCTAGGCGTGGGAGGGAGTCGAAACCCTCCCCTTTGCTCGGATTTGTGGTGTTCCTGCACACTAAACGCCTGCTTAAGCAGACTCCCCTGCGGGGTGCTGTGTCTAGTGGCCCCTTCCAAATCCTAATGTGGTGCACGATATCACATTGGTGTATTATGGCGAAGGTGACTCAAAAACTCGTTCCACGGCATGTTTGATATTGCAGACTGATGTACATAAGACTTACTTTTTAATGAAGACAAAGACACTATGTTCCACTATGCCTAAAACGACAGCCACATACTAGTACACATGCAAGATGTTTGTCTACATTTCATCATGTGTACCTCATTGAGACTAAAGTTGAATGGCATTTAACAAAATGCAACATGCTAATGCTGTTTTGGTCAAAGGCAGAATCTCAAGCGCCTTGCCCCCATTTATTGTTTAAATAGAGGGAAGCGTACCGCTGCCTCTCACACAAACTATTGGGGTTCCTCTAGCCCAGATAATTTTACATGCATTATTATATTCTTTATCACAGTAGTGTCAGGGCTGCTTCACATAAAATTTATGGGCTCGCCCATACAATCAGGACATTTAGTCAGCATTCGGGAGTCTCCTAGACAAATTCCAAGACTTGGCAGATATGCTGCAAAGATAAACTCCCATTTTGATCTCCATAAATACCCCTCAACATCTGGAAAGGCTGCTGCCACGCACCACTATTTGTGCTAATTTTGGGACTTTTGTTTACAGCGATTACTGCGATAATTCCTCTCCTAATCCTTCATTACTGTCACCTTTGGGAAAAGTGCAGCACTTACAGGTGGTACCACAGTTCACTGCACCAGTGCACCGCCAGCAACGCGAGTGGCAACGTGCGGCCACTTCTGTTTTATTTGGTGTGCTACGAATTGTCGTCTTTCCGTCAGCTGCGCCCGCGTTGTATGCAAGTGCATGCACGCAAAGGTGACAGGGTCCATCAAACCGGTGGGCTTTTAGAAAGTTAACATGGCATGATTATTTTGGGGCCTCAAATGAAAAGAAAGGATTTAAATTTATGGAACCAATAACGCTCTTGTTGCGGCAGAAAGCACAGGCATGCGCCAGAATGTTTTGACAAGGCGATTCATGTGGCCGGCTGCGTAACTCTCGAAAGATATAGGCCGTCAAAGTCTATGTTTGGATGCATTCCTTCTTGTCATTTTGCTGGCCTATTTCTGAGTAAAAGACAACATTTATGTTTTACATGTGTTATGCAACCCTTTGCGATTCGCATAAATGTAGGGTCAGCGAACTTCACGTGCTGCATTTAGTAATGCGTGGCAATTCCATGAAGCTTTCTGTGTAGTAGTTCAGGTCCGTTTGTAGACATTGCTTGGGCTGCATGAATCCTTGAGTAACTATATATGTCATGCGCCAGCTTTTGCACATATCTCAGCTGCCACATAGTGCAATAGAATGACGTGGTGTAGTTTCACTTGTACGCACAATGCTGTCAAGAGCAACTGCAGCACAAGGAGATTAAATACTTTTTATTCTTGTGGCCTGCGACACATTTTGCCTTGCATGAGGGGCTTGTTTCTTACTGTTACTATTTACGAAGTAAGTCACTATAGAAACTTCAATACGGCGGTAAAACAGCCGCAGTGTACAAAAGAAAATCGCTGAACATGTCAGTGGCTTTCTGCCAACAAAATGTTGACTATAATCTCAAAATCCCGTTACCGGTTGCCACTCAGTTCCTTCAGCACTGTAAAAATATCCCTTAACTAGTGTGGACACTAAGTTTACAGGGAAAAATCTGCAGCATGTACTTCATAAACACTTGCTTTACGTGGCATACACTAATCTAATGTTCCCGCCAGTTTCTGAAGCATGGTCACAGCGGAAAAACGGCAAAACATTGTTCAAGGTGCGCAGTTTTTTGAATTACTGGGATAGTTTAACTCTCCTATCATGGCAAACATCCGTCATTGCTAACACCACATAAAAGATACGGTACGGTGCTTTTTGGCCACCTATGGCCCTTGAGGCACAAAACCCTACTAATCATTGTCATAGTTTACCCCTACACCATTTAAATTATACATGGCATTGCACAGCACTGCTAACAATCTGACATAGCTACGCTCATTGGTCGGCTGCTGCATGGAGAACACCAATTTCTTTTCGTTCACTCCCATACCTTGGCACCACCAGCTCAGTGTAGCACAGCACACTACCCTTACCTGTGCAGTGTGCTGTGGCACTAGCCTGCTTTGGCTGTTAGTGTGTGGTGCATGTGAGCAACATAAGCTCACACACTTTTTTTGCATTACACATGCTGAACCTAGCATTCCTTTCAATATTGCTATTTGTGGTGCCACCCATTCAAGCAAGTTTTTTTTTAATAGTGTTCAGACATCATGGCCATCCTGGGATGTGAAAGGTGTGGCTTGGCTTGATGCTGTCTTGGCTTAAACTAACTTCAAAGCTTTGTGAATAATAAAAGCTGGCTTTTGGGGTATGAAGCTAAAAAGGGGCACTGATCCCGCCACTATTTCACTGATGAAATCAATTAGCATGCAACAATAGCCTTGCTACCTCATCACCCACTGGGGCTTAAAAACTACGTCATGGTGCATCACTACAACAGCCTCACAATTTTGTCCAAACTTCATCCATATATTTTTCAATTAATTTTGCTACATTACTACAGCTGAACATCTTTTTCTTTCGAATGTTCTTCCTAAAGGTGGCTTTTTCCAAGTGCAACAGAAATAATGGCAATGCTTTTAGCATGGAGTAATAAACATGGACCACTACCTTGTTTCTGCAGAGTTGGAGAAACACAAAATAGATGAAAAGAGAAGCATGCAATGGCCACATGATGAAAACACTTTCTAATAATAACTGTAGCTCTTTACTAGAAACTTCCTCACAGACCACAGCGTGAAAATGAGCCAGCATGAACTGAGGCTTACTCAGGTCCCGTGGCAGCATTAAGTGTCACTGGCATCCATGGCACTGGTGGAGCAAAGGTCAGGGCCCTTTTCATCTGTGCATGGTGCAGAAAAGAACGAGACTCATTAACACAGAAATAAGATAATTGAGCTCTTGTGAGTCCCACACAGCACCAATATTTATTATCTTTAACCTAAGTGAAATATTAACCATGGTGGTACTGAAAAATAACATGGACTCACTTTCCACACCATACTTATTTGCACGGATCACAGTGCTTCATGGCCATGTGATGCACCGGACATAACTCCCAACTTGGCCGCACATTCTAAAAAAAAACTTGTCTGCTAGTAGCTCCAGGTTTGCAAACGGGTTAGCCAGTTGCAACGTGCTGCTCCTGGTGCTTCCGCAGCACAAACAAGTTCCTCCCAAAGGATAAAGTTGCCATGTGTTGATGTAATGTACTATAAAGATCTTAGCTGCATCACAGAACAATTATGTACAACAGTGAACATTCCAACATCATTCACAAGTAGTGAGATGCACTTTAATAGGACATTCTGGATGATTTTTCACTAGCTGGTGTTCGTACCTTAAACTCAAAGAAGTAGATGAGTATTTTTTGCATTCCACCTCTGTCAAAAATACAAGTGCCATGGATAGGTATCATATTCATGTTTGGTAGTTGCATGCCTCTGACACACTAGTGGCAAAGGCAGCAATCAAGGGAACACCGAGAACAATGCAGTAAACATAGATGTTGCTACCACAATGGTTCCCGTGAATAGCCCATGTTATTTATACCTGTGCCAAACAGGTGTTGGAATGCCTTCAAATCAGTTGTCTCTTGACTCAATGGTCAAGTTTAAGCTGGTCATATGATTCAATGGTCATATGGGAGCTTCTGAAGGCCACTAAGTCAATAGTCTATCAAGCCAACAGAGCATTCTACAACTCTATCAAACCACCTATTGCCAATGAGCAATGGAAGTGGAAACGGCACGAATGCACTCTCTTGTTCAGAGTGTGAGCGACTCCCAATTAGAGAGAAAAAAACATACTAGTATACTTCGAAAATAGTAAATGTAAGTGATATCAATTATTTATTAAGCAAAGCATTTTTGCCACTTCAAATGTGCACATTGCACATAATACTAACAACAGTAACATGCCTATGTTGTCAAGAGTACATTATAGTAACATTAAGTGCCACAAATGTTATCACTGCTTTACTGCTTGGCACCTTAAAAAGGAAACGTATATGTTCAACACTGGGTAAACAATTTATGGAAATGTTTAAAAAAAATAACACATGTGCTTTTAGGTGCTCTTGTACAATTTAACTCTCAGTGACATGAAAATAAAAATAAAGAAATGCAGCACTACCGAATTTTTGCGAAAAACACCTGAACTACTTACTCAATGGCCGAATGCTGTGCCACTGAGTCAATAGAGTAATCCCATTTTGATAGCCATCGACCAGATGGCCTTTCAAAAGTAAAACTTAGGTGAAGTTCAAGGGGAAGACGGGAGCTTGAAGCGATTTGACAAGTGGGCAGCAGCAGCCCTGAAGAAGACAAGCCCGCTTGTCGAAATATCCACCGCAGTGACACCCCGTGTTCATGATGAATTTTTTAGGGGTGCTTAAATAGTGAAACTTAATGTTGAATCAAGTTTGAATCAAATACTGCTGAAAGTGGCCAAAAATATACTCTAAAATCGAAGATAGAAAAGATTTTGATGAATATTGAAAAAAACAACAAAAATTAAATCCGTTCATGTCCTCGAGCACGAGTAACTGCTACCAAAAGACTACAAACTGTCATGCAGAAGCAGAAGCTCTTCCTCATGACATGGCTCTCAGCCTCTTCGTTTGCTGTAGTTGCAAACATGCGCTCAATGGGCAGCAAGAATGAGAAAGTATCGCAAGGCAATTTCAGAGATAGTTGGATAGCACTTTCCAGTATGCCAAAGGATCATTCTTTCTTGAGATCAAGGCCTCATTGAAGCATTCTTGAACCTCCTTACTAATAAGGTCTGATCCCTGTATACTGGTTATTTTTGATGCTAGCAGGTCAGCAGCTGCCCAACTTGTTCCCTGCCCTTCTTTGCTGGGTCCAAGACGTGCGAAAATGACAATCCCTTAAAAGAGACATTCACTTGCTTTTGAACCAGGCTATTGATGCAAGTTTGAATCAAAGGTCTCCTGTAACGGCATCACTTTTAGTTTTATTCATCCTACCCTAGCCAAGTTGCACTACTATTGGCTTTTGTCGTGCTTTACATATTTGCCCTGTCGAATTATTCAAAGCTTTGAATACCAGTTATTTGAAAGTAAAATCAAATTATACAATTAAATATTATTCGACTTGAATTTCAGCCTTGAATATTGGCACATCCCTAAAATTTATTTATCTCCACAGGTAATACTGGTGGTCTACAGCAGCCCTGCTGCCTGTGCAAGCTACAAGTTCCAGACAAATTTTCTAGAATAAGTCAGTATAGACGAAGTCACACTTGTCTAAAGTGAAGTAGCATGTGCCAGAGAATGTTGTAATTGCCCACTGCTGCTACCTCATGACAGGAACAAGCTACCGTTCATACTGGAATTATAGCGCAAGAACCTGGCATGCAGTAGAACTGTGGTGTGCATAAATACGTCGATCTTGGCATATTTCTGCCGGAAATGGTAGCTGAAGCAGCTGGCTGGGCGCTCTGATGAGTAGGATTCCGCCCGTACACCATTTGGACCATGCAAAGGTGCATTAGGCACACTGTACGGTGTTTCATGCTACCTACTGATGCTGTTCTGAGAAAGTTTGTTAATGTGAAAATAGTGAGGTGCGCAACTTCATCAAAGAGGCCTGACAACTGCAGTGTGAATGGGATCAATACACGAGCTAAGTAATGAAGTAGCAGAGTTGTAATAAGAACAAAGCCCTTGCCTTGCCTTCATTTAGTAATCGTTTTACCCCCTCCCGAGAGTTTAATGTTCAATGCAAATGAAACACCAGTATTTAGAGTCAATTTAGAGCTTGAGAAATGGGGTGTGGCTCCGTTTCAAGGAATATAGTGGTGGTTGGAATTCCACAGGTCTCTGTCCAAAGTAATCTTATAGAAGCATGGCCTGCGAACATTTGACCACCCCTGTACTACTAAACTCTGCAGTGCAAAGCCACAGCCACTAAGCTTCAGTGGTGGGTTAGAGAAAGGCACGAGAAAAGTGTACAAAACACAATAAAAAAACAAATGCCGAACCCGGCAAAAACAAGTGGGTCTGAGTGTTACAAAAAAAAAGGGGGGGTGGGGGGTATGCCGGTACATGGCAAAAAGGTGTCCATGGCCATTTAAGTCAAACAGTGCCAGTGTTGCTTTTCCACATCTGCCCATGCAACCAATGGGCATACAGCTTGGCAACAACATAAATTCACCAGTCATCGTCCGCACAGATTATTGCTTTCAGCTACTTTTACGGGCTTTGCATAAGAAACTCCGGGCAGCATCCCCGAAAGCCTGCCATAATGTAGCTCACCACACATGCTTCATGACATACTTGACGGTTTTACATAACTTGCAAGGTACACTTCGCAACATTGTGCTGCTTCCATGAAAAAGGATGTGAAAAATGAGAAACGTGAACATAAAACTTGGACTCCAATGAAGAAAAAAGCAAGGAAGCAATGCACGTCTTTTCTTTCACTGATGTCCAAAGCTAGGATTTGCACCGTTAGAGCAAATTTGTTCCATCAATTACCAAACCCCGCCTAATGCAAACATGCCTGAAGAGGCATCTATGAACCACCGTACACACAAACCTCATTAAAACAAAGTTCCATCTTACACCAAAATAAGTTCTTTATATCAGAAAATTCGTTACAAAGATATTTTTCGAACACTATGTCAATTGCCAGGCTACTCTTCATTTACTTTGTTGTAACTGATATTTCGTTATATCCAAGTTCGTTATGCCGAGGTTTGAGTGTACTAATATTATGTGGGGTTTTATGTCCCAAAACCATGGTATGATTGTAAGGGACACCTTAGTGGAGGACTGCGAGAATTTCAATAATGTGAGGTTCTTTAATGTGCACTCATATGGCACAGTACACGGGCCTCTACCATTTCACCTCCGTCGAAATGCGACTGCCCCGGCTGGGACTGAACCCGCAACCTTCGAGTCAGCAGCTGAGCACCTTAACTGCTACAGCACTGCGGCCGACTATACAGCACCTTCTCACCCGCCATGACAATGTCATGGTTTATCAGCATAGTGGCACTGTTAACTTATTTCTTTCATTATTTCTAGCTCTTTGGGTTGAATGAAGACTGCTATAGTGAAAAAACAAGCCTCCTTTGTAGCTAACTAAACAGCATACAATATCTTGGCTGGGTATAAGCAAGGCAGCATGACAAAAAGGCAGAGAAATCATCCAAAAAAAACAAGATGCACGCATGGGACCACAAAGAAATGTGCATTACTAAGACAAGCACACACTAACACAAGCAAAAAGCAGGCAAGAGCATATGCATGCAGTGGAGCAGCGTCAACAGGCAAAGCAGTGGCAGTTGGCCTCAGTGAAATGAAAGCTTTCTTAGATATGCAGCAAACGAGGATTCCTATAATTAAGCAACCTTCACCCTTTATTAAAATATAACACATTCACTTATAGCATTTTAATCATATATCTTGATACAAATGATCATTTTGAGACGGCCTTTTTAATGCGAGAAAATTAAAGGGTTTACACGAGACAGAGGGAAGAATCAGCTGATATCGAGCTGTATTCTTCGCTCTGACAATGTAGCTGAGCTTGTCGATGCTGATTCGCTCACAGCAAACAGACAGAGATCGTACTAATAAAGAAGGCGACCAGACCTTCAACTATCACTTGCTGCGCAACTTGTTCAAAGAAGGTTTCTCAATCTTGTACTCTTGTTTCAAATAGAGTTAAACCTAGATATAACGAAATTGATAAATTCCTGATAATACGTCATGAAGAGGATTTCGTTATATGCAGGTTTGGTACGAAAATACGAAGGAAAACGCACAAATTAAATGAAAGGGGAACTGAATGCAGAGCTAACCGAAAACAC